ACAGTAGCCGTTGAACCGGGATTAGGGCAGATGTCTGCGCTCACTATAAGTCGCGATAAGTTAAAGCAGGCCTGTGAATTAGGATAAAATGAGATACGAGCGGAAAGAAATTTCCGACCACGTGTCTGCTTCGTCGTTCGACCAGCTCGTGAAAGGCGACTGTTCCAAGGCGAAAATAGTGAAAAGTGAGTGACTGAATCATTCTTGCCAACAATTTCGTATGTTCTACTATTTAAAGAGCTTTTTAGTAGACATATGAGCACAGTAATCCTTGCGATCAACAACAAAGTGGAGGACCGAGAAATCACACGTCCGTTCGCCATGATTTATTTAGTCGCATTAAGAGGAACACTGTGTCAAGGGATTAACCCTGTAGAACTGTTCTGAATGGTTATCATTTTTCTGTTATTTTTGTTGTTAAGTTAAGGCTCAGAGTAGCTTTGTTTTTTTTTTCTCATTTTTGGAAAAAAGGGGATGTAATATTCAGTTCTGGTTTCACACTGTTTGCAGTTCCGGTCACATGACCAAAGTCATTCGCATGCTTGTGTGTATTTGCATATTCTTCTAGTTCTTCGAGTCTGCATAACACAATGTTCGAAAACGTATCTCTTGCCTGGTTTATTGGTTCATTGCCACGACACCACCCACATAGTGAAAGTTACATTCAAGTAATTGACATTGACTGTATACCACAATTATGACAGTTTTTAGAGTACACAAGATCATCAAGGTCATCAACATTTAATATATATTAAATTTTATTAGATGTTTGTTTCCCAATCTATATTTATTGTATTTATTAATAAATGGGTCTTTTTTTTCTTTTTTGATTTTAATGTAGCTAATGTGCATTTTCAAATATACTTAATAATTACTTCCTTTTCTTTTCTTTCTTTTTTTTTTCTTTTCTTTTCTTTCCTTTCCTTTCCTTTTCTTTTCTTTTCTTTTCTTTTCTTTTGCTATATTATAAGCATTGGCAGATTTAGGGAAGGGGCTCAGGAGGCCCAGACCCCCTCCCGTATTTTGGGTCAAAAAAGAAAAAATCGTACAAGGAAGAAAAGCCGGTAGGGCAAGCAGAACCTCCCCCTCCCCACCCCCTATCTCAAGGTATGGATTGGTCACTGATAAGTTTAATAGTAGCACATGGTGTTAATACACCTGTAGGTAGACAGTGTAGTATGGGTGTAGTAATAGAACAGCACATTGCTGTAATTGTAATTTGTTAAAGATGTGTTACTTTAAATGACAAAAAGATTTTAAAAAATACTATTTAATTTTAATGCTTAACAAAATAAAATAAAAAATTAATTACAAAATTAATCAACCTAGTTTGTATATTTGTTTTTTCTCTCTAGGAAACCATTCCCATTGCATGGGTCAACACGACCCTGTTTGATTACCAGGGTAAGCTGCGGTCGGGTCCATTGAAGCTCTTTGCATGGCCTGTACCTGAAACAATGGCAGACCAACTCAATCCAGTTGGCACAGTGGTGTCCAATATCAACACTGCTACCTCAGTCTCACTCAGCATTGAATTTCCAAGTTACTCCCATGCTGTTGTGTATCCATCATTTGAGAAGGTAAGATGTTGTGTGATTTTAATGGCATCACCATTGGAAATTATGTAAATGTGGATGTATAAGCCACACAATTTTGTAGATATTAGGCTGCAATTTCACCCCAGAACAAAACGTAAATTTTTCCAGACAGTAGCCATAATTTATTCAATACACCTGACGTGAGATGTTCAAATATTGATATCAATAAGATCCAATAAATAAGCAGCCTTTGTAAGTTGTGACTGATCAGTGTTGCTCATTCCATTGTCAATATATTTCTAACAGGTACAATTTGTAAGTACATGTACTTGTATGAAGAAAGTCATCACATAGGGAATGTTGCCTTTTTGATGATGACTGATGATCACAATCATCAGTCTCTAAACTATATTTTAACACTAAGAAGACATTTGCAGTGTAATAATGAAGTTAAAAGAATTGACGTTTTCAAGTTTGCACCTGAAAGGGTTTCTGTTTCTTTTTGTTGTATGTGTAGATTGCTGAACTAGCTGCAGAAGTTACTGACTTCAACATTTTTGTGAGTACATTCTACCTTGTAGGCCTAAGTTTTGAACTGTGATGTGATTTAATTTGCATCAAGCAAAAACAAATTGACTTAATTTGCTTTAACTTTAATTTATCCGTCAAGCTCAACTAAATACAAATTCAAGGTTTCTATCAGCTTCACCCCACAGCAATTACTACAGCATTGTACACATGAAGTTGATAAAGCTAAATTTCAGTCATAGCAGATGTTGTTTTGATGGGATCTCTGCAATGTTCAAACATTGACTAGCAGTGTTTGCGGAAAGCAACTTCTAACTTTCAATTCAAGTTTACTTGTCTGAGCAAGTTGTCATTTTCCTAGGTACACGTTGAAAAACCTCTGTATCAAAGTGAAGGAACTCAAGATAATTTTTCTTTCCTTCATGGTTTAAATATTAACAGATTTAGAGAAATAAGCCACAGGCTGGGTTGAAATTACAAAGCTGGGGAGATGCACTGAAGAATATTAATTTGCTCCACTCGTTGTGGATTCACGCATATTCAATTGTGAAAATAGGTTTCCAGTTTTTTACTGATTTTCATCCACTTATTTCCTGCAGTCTGTTGATTAACTCTTGACCAATTCTTTTCTCCACCTTGACACCAAAGTGTTATTTCATCAATATATGGCAAAATGAAAACCAGAACTAGCCAAAAATAAAACAGATCCTCTGTCACCACTTGCAATAGCAAATTATGAATCGACAGTTGCAAGTTGTGCTGTAACATTGCAGAGTTGCTGTCAAAAGAACAGTTTCCAGTTTGACCGTGACTGCTGCAGCGAGTTTTCAAGCTGCTGCCAAGCTTTATCATGGTCACCGGTTAGATAAGTCAGTCAAATGCTACCTTGTGCTAGTACTCCAAAGACAGACAGTGACTACAGAGCGCTGCAAGTTACGGCACATAGAATAAAATATTCAACAAATCTATTGTCAATTTACTGCAATAGGGAGGAGCAGATGAAACATTGATTGAGCAACTAAGGCAGATTGTAAACCGTGAACCCTTGGCCCCAATCTTTGAACAAGAAAAGGAGCTTGTTTGGGAGAGGAGGTTTGTCTTCTTGATCTTCAGTGATCTCTGCCTGGTTAATTTTAATCTCGTCAGCTTTACAATGTATCTTATGCTCTAACATCTGCTATTGTTGTGTGGTTCCAAAACTAACAGTAGGTATCATTCTTGCAGAATTGACTGTCGAGAACATTTTCCGCATGCTCTAGCAAAACTGTTGTGTTGTGTGAAGTGGAACAGCAATAAAGATGTTGCTTTGGTATGTATTAGTAAACATGTATATTGTATCAAGCTTTCATTTAAGTGCCCAAATCCCAGGGATGTAACTATGGTGGGGGAATTTTGCAGAACACTGAACACGAAATGCAGAATGCCAAACCCAAAATACATGTTTTGTTTTGGGTTAATTGCGCTCATATTTGCTTGCGGTTAGCATTTGTTTTAAAGGACAGCATTAACGATGTTGTATTTGGCCCGTTCCAAAACATAAAAGGTACTGTAGCCCTAAGCAAACACAAGTGAAACTAACGGGACAAAAACAGGGAATTTGGCATTTGGCATTGGGCATTCAGTGTTGTGCAAATTACCCCTGCCGAGGTAACTAGGAAGAAAACTAACTATCGTAAGTAGGCTTAATAAGCTCAGCTGGCTTTCTTGATGAGTGCAACTTTAAAATTACCCTGACGAGCCCTGCAGCGCGTGCACTTTCAAGTCCGAGTATTCAATTGTCAACAAATCGTGACGAAGATTTCTTTCGTTATCTTTGATATTGTCAGTGGTAAAAAACGAATTGAATGTGGTTTGGCGTGGTCTGTACTCTTATTGAGAACGAGTACGTGTCATCACAGTGGTCAAAATTTGTTGTGGACTCACTCGGCTGGGCCTCGTGAGTCCACAACATCCACGCGTACTCGCTGTCGATAAGAGTACAGACCACGCTAAACCATATTCGATTTGTTAAACCCGTATGTCAAATTAAAGCTTATAGAGCTGGCTATCAAACTATACCAAACATTTAATTTTGAAATAAAATGAATAGTTGAATTTTTCACGACCTTTTAACATGAGCATCCGAATCATCTTTTAGGTCCTTTTTGAAAGCTACTTGTAAGTCAAAGGGAATTTTGTTTTGTTTGCCCTCAAATTTTACTGTAGCTAGTTTGACATATTTACAACGAAAACATGTTTGCAGACATTAGGGACAAATTAAATAAGTGAGCCCTATTAAGCGAAAAACAATCAATTCGCTTTCACTTGCAGCTTTCAAAAGGTTATTCGGATGCTAACATTTAGAGCTTGTAAAAACTTCGACAATTCATTTTATTTCAAACTTTTTGGTATAGTTTGATAAGAAGATCATCATAAAATATAATTTATGTGTACTGTAAAATACCAGAAATAATTTATAATTATTTAATATATAATGTTTTCAGATGCA